TAAAAAATTCAGCTGCAAAAATTCAGCTGCAAAAATTCAGCTGCAAAAAATTCAGCAGCAAAAATTCAGCCACAAAAGTGTTGACCAGTTGGTGAACTCAAGCCAAAGCGATCTACACTCGATAGAGTCGAGCAGCTTCTAGCCAATGAAATTAGCTAATTTGGTCACGTGACACAGCGGCTGCGCTCAGCGCTTTTCCCGGCTAAATGAAGATTTGAAAAGATGGGAATAAAAAAAAACAAAAAAACAACCTGCAAAACTTAGTTTGTGCTATGATACAGGTTAACCAAACAATTTAGAATTACCTGAAAGTTATGTTTGATGCGCTCAGGACTGAAGCTCTTTGGAATGACGACCACACCTCTTTGTATGTTGAAGCGGAGAGCTACCTGAGCACTACTCTTGTTGTACTTCTTGCCAATAGACACCAGCAGTTCATCTTCCAGAAGAGGAGGAGACTTTACATTTACCCTTAATGAGACATAAAAACATCTATTTATGCATATATGTATATACGGTATATGTATTTGTGTGCACATGTGTATTTACCAAAAACACATACCAAGAAGCATCTCTAGAAGAACCAAGGGGGCAGTAGCCCACAATCACAATCTCATTTTGACGGCAGTACTCCAGAAGTTTAGGCTGAGTGAAATATGGGTGACATTCAACCTACAAGGTCAGTGAAAGGAGAGCACACCATTAATCGTGAATCTTTGCCTAAATTAACTCTCTATTTAACTTGTTATCAGATCAGAAGGATTGACTTTGGAATCTATGTACCAACCTTGGCAATACAAATAGGCCTTTGTAGAGTTTACTCCACAACTGTGACTTTAACTGGACATGTGTGATCTTTATCTGATTAGACAGTTTTTTCATGTTAACAAACACATTTTTAAAAATAAAAATATATTTATTATATCTATCTACACGTCTCCACCAGAGGTACCTATAAAAATGGAGATCAGGGTGTATATGAAGACTATACTGAGGTGAGTGTGTAAGTATAGAGGAGACTTATGGTGACCTGATTGGACACAGGTTTGTGTTTCAGGCCAGGTTTTCTGAGCAGCAGCTCCAGCTGCCGGCGGTTGAAGTTGGAGACTCCCAGAGACTTCACCAGCCCTGCATCTTTGCAAGCTTCTAAAGCCTAAAGAGAGAATACAGAACTGAGTAAAAAAATTAGTTAAAAGCAGCAGCATGTTAGCAAAAGCAGGTATCCTGACTAATACACCTGCTAAAATGAATTTATTAGGCTTTATTTTGCTTCTTTCGGAGTTAAATACTGTTTATACTTTGTTTATATTTAATCATTTATTTGAAAGTCAGTATGACAAATAACAGTTGAAAATAACATTATGATGAATGTAATGATAAATTTACATAATTTTTGTACAAGTAACTAATTAATTTCAGTCTTTGCAATAAAAACAACTAGATCTAGAGTGACCAGATCTCCAAAAAAAAAAAAAAAGTAGGACAACCAGATTGCATTAAAAGACGACTGGAGTTTTTGTATGCAGATTTTCTCCAGCTGTGTTTTTCTTGTGTGATACAGATTTACAGTATTTCTCGCTCTCATCTCTGCATGAAATAATAATAATAAAAAAACTTTCCAAAAGACCTTTCTGAGAATCACCTTTTATCAGCCTTACCCAGTTATTAACTACACAACAGTCTTTTTTTGTGGCTTTTGTTTTTATTTGATTACTTTATTAATCCCAAAGGGAAATTAAATGTTGGAGTAACTCATAAGTTACTTTTTAAACAGGTGTTGTGGGTGTTGATAGCTGTGGGCATATATTAAATAATTTACCTGTTCTGTTTTGGTTTTAAGAGCAGAATGCAAAGGTTGCTGATGACTTATTTGTGTTTGGGTTTGTTCGTTGAGTTCTTTAAAGAAATGCCTGTTAATAATTTTTTTGACTTTTCAGAAGTTGGCTGAGTGAAATATGGGCGATTGTTACAATTTGTGGAACAGAGTTGAAAATGCAGAAACCATAACAGATCGTGTAATACAGTCTTACAATTTTCTACATGCATTGTATTGTGTTTTACAACTCCAAGCAAAATCTATGTATCCATCTTTTTCTGTCAGTCAGTTATTAAGACCTTATTCTGTAAAGTATTTGTTTTTCAATATAAGATATTAGATTATCATGTGTTATTGCTAGTTGAGAGTTATAGCTGTCTAAAATGTGTTTAACTGACCTGACCAAATAAATTGTAATACCTAATTAGAACACCGTGTTTACAGCTATGCAAGCATAAAACCTTTTTTCTATTGTTATTTTACTCTGTTATCAGATTGCATTGCATGGATAGCTCACCTCCCATGTTGCACAGAGGTCTGTCTGGTGGTAGATGTATTTTCCATTCTGATCTTTAGGGTAAAATTCCTTGCCGGGCTGAAAAATTGGCACAGTTAATTACTCTGCAATAATAGTTTATGCTAAGTCTTATCTACTCTGGCAGCCTAATTGGTGGCTTAGTCTACACCTGAACAATAATTCATTGCAGCAGTGACTGACCTTCACACATGCATTATCATCTCTTTAAGATTCTGTATGTTTAGCATTTTGGCACCTTGAAAGCCATAGGAAGCTCCACAATGTAGAGATCCACATAGTCCATTTTTAGGGTTTTCAATGTCCTTTCCAAAGCAGGTCTCACTAACTCAGGAGGATGGAAGGTATTCCAGAGCTAGGGATTACAATATAATGTGGCATAAATTTTCAGAACATAACCATAAGATTTTAAAGTAGAAATGTAAGATAATATTAAGAAACATAACAAATAGTAGCAAACAATCTTATTTCATAGACAGTCATTTGTAGAAATTTGAATTGGTTATGTATATCTGATTTAATTAGACACATATAGGTTTGTTACCTTGCCACAGTAAAATATGTCCTCTCTTCTGACAGTTCCATCTGCAATCTTTTCTCTAATAGCTTGGCCGACCTCATGCTCATTGAAATACACCAGCGCCCCGTCAAAGTGCCTGTATCCAACTTCTATGGCCAGCTTGACACATTCGAGAGCTGTTCCCTTTGGCGTCTTTATAAATACAAATCACACATGCTTTTTGAATACACAATGCTTTAATGAATTTTCCTATTTGAGGTAGAAAGGGTTAAGAAAACACAATCATATTAGTTTTCTCCAACTCACTGTGCGAGGGTCTCCATAGGTTCCCAATCCAAGAAGTGGAATACAATTGCCATCACTGAGAGAAATACTGTGGCTCTCTACTGAAAGATTCATTGGTGTAAAAATGTGCATTCAAAAGAGACTTTATCAACTCAACCTAAAAGATAACAGAGCTCGACCCTGGACTTTGAACCTAGTTAACATATCATCAAGCAAACAGTCAGTGGCCTCTAACTGAGGCAACCATTTTATTACATGGATGTTTAATGTGAACATTCAGTTCTTTGTGTTGAACTACTATAATTGTGCTCCTAAATGTTGCTAAGCTAGTTGCAGTTTGTCTGTTATAAAAAGAGTATTCCATTTATTTGCCTAGGATTCAATTTTTTGCATATTTTAAGTCTTCTGGATCAGAAGTCTATATCCATGTCCTCTTCTGGCTGAGGCATGTCTCGCTCATTGTCATGCTGCTCACTGCCTTCATCAGAGTCCTCCTTATTGTGAACTGAAGATGCACAAAAGCAAAACAGTCTGTGATCAATTAAGAAGTGTCATTTTTTCCTCTAATATTTTTGTTGATGATTGTGTCAGAACCTCAGAACGTAGGACGCAGAATTCAAGCAGACAGACCAGGATGATTACAAACAAGAGTTTATCAAACGCGAACATGCGGGTAATCGTCAGTTGGGGCGGGTTCACTGGATACTCTGTAGAGACAGAAATTCAGGTCAGAGACTTGTGAACTCAGATGGGAAACGATAATGAGCTTGAATAATCTGGCATCAATGGCTGGAAACAGGTAGCTTAAATAGAAGCGGGGACAGGTGGATCTGATTAGACACAAGGAGTACTGGGCGGAGCAAAGCATATGTAAGTAAAGAGCGAAATCCAGCCATAGGTGCCAAGATTATGACAGATTGATGAAAGATAATCTAATAAATTAATGTATCATGAACTGCAGCATACGGCAATTAAATAATTAGTAAAACAAAAAATTACATAATAAAACTGTGAAAAAAAGAAGACAATTTTGACAAAAATCTGATATGTCACGTGCAATGTATTAGCCTGTATTAGAAAAATTGTTTACTGCTGTATAAGAGGACCCTTCATAAAGCATCCTCTCTGGAGGATGGGACAGCATCTGAGGTAGCCATAGAATCTGAACCGGGTTTAGATTGCTTTGATCCAGTTGAACTTTCAAAGTTAGCAAAATTATTGTCTTCATCTAAGCCTTCAACTTGTATGTTAGATCCAGTTCCAACCAGGTTATTTAAGGAGGTATTCCCTTGGATCTCCTCCTCCATTTTAGATGTGACTAATCTATCTCTGTTACAGGGATATGTACCAAAGGCTTTTAAGGTTGCTGTAATTCAACCTTTTCTTAAGAAACCGTCTCTTGACCCAGATGACTTGGTCAATTAAAAACCTATATCAAATCTTCCTCTGTTATCTAAAATTCTTGAGAAAGAAGTTGCCAACCAAGTTTGCGATCACCTACACCATAATGAACTTTTTTAATCAGTATCAGTCTGGCTTTACAGCTCATCATAGCACTGAAACAGCTCTGGTGAAAGTCACTAATGATATTCTCATGGCCTCAGATAATGGACTTGTATCTGTGCTCGTCTTCTTGGATCTCAGTGCTGCATTTGATACAGTTGACCACAATATTCTTTTAGAAAGACTTGAATATTTTGTTGGAATTAAAGGAACAGCACTAGACTAGTTTAAATGTTTTCGATCTGATTGATTTCAGTTTGTTCACGTCAATGACAAATCTTCTTCATGCTCAAAGGTTACCTGTGGAGTACCACAGGGATCAGTGCTAGGACTAATTCTCTTTACTATATATATGCTCCCAATCTGTAGAGTTATTAGACAGCATGGGATTAATTTTTACTGTTATGCTGACGATACCCAACTCTATCTGTGTATAAATCCAGATGAAGCTAACCCATTACATAGATTACAGGCATGTCCGTTCTTCCCTATTTATGCTGGGTTTATAGGCTCATTAGATACCTTTTCCCCTATGTTAAGCAGGGGAGCGCTATCTGAAGAGGTTAATATGCCCATCAGATTCTGTACAACCCAATTTAACAAGAACTCCCAATTTAACCCCGGTGAACGAGGGGGTGGCCTCCCTCCGCATACATGTGGGGGGACGGGTTCTGACTGTTGTTTGTGCTTATGCACCAAACAGCAGTTCAGATTACTCACCCTTTTTGGAGTCTTTGGGGGGGTTCTGGAGGTTGGAAGGAATGGCTCACCTGACTTGAACTCGAGTGGTGTTCTGTTGTTGGACTTCTGTGCTAATCATGGATTGTTCATAACGAACACCATGTTCAAGGATAAGGGTGTCCATATGTGCTTTTGGCACCAGGACATCCTAGGCCGCAGTTCAATGTTCGACTTTGTTGTTCTTTCATCTGACCTGCGGCCACATGTCTTGGACACTCGGGTGAAGAGAGGGGCTCTCCACCAATCACTACCTGGTGGTGAGTTGGCTCCGATGGTGGGGGAGGACGCCGGTCAGACCTGGTAGGCCCAAACGTATTGTGAGGGTCTGCTCGGAATGTCTGGCAAAGTACCCCGTGAGAAGGAGCTTTAACTCCCATCTCTGACAGAGCTTTGAACACGTTCTGAGGGAGGTGGGGGACATTGAGTCTGAGTGGACCAAGTTCCATGCCTCTATTGTTGAGGCGGCTAGTCGGAGCTGTGGCTGCAAGGTTGTCGGTGGATGTCGCGGCGGCAACCCTCAAACAAGCTGGAGGACACCAGCGGTGAGGGAAGCTGTCAATAAGTCCTATCGGGCTTATTGACCTGTGGGACTCTAGAAGGTGGCTCGGCTGGTAGCTGAAGCAAAAACTCGAGCAGCGGAAGAGTTTAGAGAGGCCATTCAGAAAGACTCTGATCCACAATTTAGCGTCTCAGGAACGAAGAAGCAGAGCAGTACAAACACTATTTATAGTGGGGGTGGTGGGCTGTTGACTTCAACTTGGAACGTCATATGTTGCTGGGCGGAGTACTTCAAAGACCTTAATCCCACCAACACATCTTCCATTGAGGAAGCAGAGCCTGGGGGCTCCAGCTCAGGTTCTCCTTTCTCTGGTGCTGAAGTCACTGAGGTGGTTAAAAAGCTCCTCGTTGGCAAGGCCCCAGGGGTGGATGAGATTCGCCCTGAGGACCTTAAGGCTCTGGATGTTGTGCGGCTGTGTTGGTTACCGCGGCTCTGCAACATTGCATGGACATCAGGGGCAGTTCCCCTGGATTGGCAGACTGGGGTGGTGGTCCCTGTATTTAAAAAAGGGGACCGGAGGGTGTGTTCCAACTACAGAGGAATCACACTCTTAAGCCTCCCTGGTAAAGTCTATTCCGGGATTCTGGAAAGGAGGGTCCGTCGGATAGTCGAATCTCGGATTCAGGAAGAGCAGTGTGGTTTTTGTCCTGGCCATGGAACAATGGATTAGCTCTACACCCTCAGCAGGATTCTGGAGGGTACATGGGAGTTTGCCCAACCAGTCTACATGTGTTTTCTGGATCTGATTTCTGGAGGTCTCTGGGGGGTTCTTTTGGGGGGTACTCCGGGAGTACCAGGCCCTTTAATAAGGGTTGTTAGGTCTCTGTACGACCGGTTTCAGAGCCTGGTCCGCATAGTCTGCAGTAAGTCGGACTCGTTTCTGGTGAGGGTTGGACTCCGCCAAGGTTGCCCTTTGTGTCCGATTCTGTTCATAACTTTTATGGACAAAATTTCTAGGCGCAACCATGGTGTTGAGGGGATCTGTTTTGATGGCCTTAGGATTGCATCTCTGTTAATCACAGATGATGTGGTTCTATTGGCTTCATCAGTGCAGGATCTACAGCTCTCACTGGAGCAGGTTGGGGAGGATGTGAAGGGATTTGTATGTGAACCATATACCGTTCCCCCCATGTTAAGCCAGTTGAACACTATCTGATAAGACTTTAGGAATGCTCTCTAACGAGGTGTATATGCCCATCAGATTCCGTTCCCCCCAATTTAACCAGAAGGAATGCTATTTGACAGGGTTTATAGGCCAATCTGATACCTTTCCCATATGTGAAGCAGGGGGAACGTTATTTTATAGGACTTTTGAACACATCAGATACCATTACCCCCATGTTAATCAATTGGGAAGCTATCTGACAGGTTTTATAAACCCATCCGATACCCTTCCCCCTATGTTAAGCAGAGGGACACTCTATCAGACGAGGTTTATATGTCCATCAGATACCGTTCTCCCCTAGTTAAGCAAGGGGAATGCTATCTGACTGTGTTTATAGGCCCATCAGATACTGTCCCCCCAACATGTTATGCACTGGGAACGCTATCTTACGGGTTTTATAGGTCCATCTGACACCTTTCCTCTACTTAAAGCAGGGCGTACGGTATCTGACGTGGTTTATATGCCATTCAGATACCGTTCCCCCAATGATATGCAGGGCTAACACTATCTGACGAGGTTCATAAGAACATCAGGTACCGTTAACCCCATGTTATACTGGGGAACTCTATTTCATAGGACTTTTTATCACATCAGATATCGTTCCCCCCATGTTAATCAGAACGGAAGCTATCTGACAGGTTTTATAAGCCCATTAGTTACCTTTCCCCCTATGTTTAGCAGGGGGGATGCTATCTCACTGGGTTTTTAGGCCCTTCAGACACCGTTTCCCCCATTTCACCAGGAGGAATGCTATTTTGACAGGGTTTATAAGACCATCTGATACCCCCATGTGAAGCAGCGGGGAACGCTATCAGACAGGGTTTAAAAACCCATAAAATACTGTTCCCCTCATTTTAAAAAGGGCGAACGGGGTTAATATGAATGTTACATACTGTTAAGCCTATGTTAAACAGGGGGCATACTATTTATACTTTTAAGCACATCAGATGCAATACCACCCATGGCAATCAGGTAGGACACTATCTAGTAAGTTTTATAAGCCCATCAGATCCCCTATGTTATTCATGGGTAAATGCTATCTGAAGAGGTTTATATGCCCATCAGATACCGTCCTCCACAGCGGGAACGCTAAATGTCAGGGTTCATAAGCCCATTAGATACCATTCTCCACTAGTCAAGCAAGGA